GGCGGCATGTCCTTCCTCGGCCCTTGTCTGCAACCCTGCAACGACCTTTGAGGTTGCTAAGCAGTGCCTCACACCAGCGCCATGTGAAATTATTCAAACGAAGATGCTCGCAGCGTCTCCATCAGTGCCGCCCTCTATGGCAGCATGATCTTCCTCGGCCCTTATCTGCAACCCTGCAGCGACCTTTGTTGAGGCTGCCAAGCAGTGCCTCATACCAGGGGGAGTGTGAAATTATTCGAACGAAGACACTGTTCCATAGGCTAGCGCAGCGCCCTTCTCCATCAGTGCCGCCCATTCTGCCGGCATGACCTTCCTCGGCCCTTGTCTGCAACCTTCGAGGTTGCTAAGCAGTGCCTCATACCAGGAGGCATGTGCTTATTCGCGCGAAGACGCTGTTCTTCAGGCTAGCGGCGCCGTTGTCCGTCAGATCCGCCCAGTATGACGGCGTGACCTTCCTCGGCCCTTGTCTGCAACCCTTCAACGACCTTCGAGGTTGCTCAGTGCGTCATACCAGGGGGCAGGTGAAACTATTCGCACGAAGACGCTGTTCTCTGGGCTAGCAGCGCTGTTATCCATCAGTGCCGGCCACTATGGCGGCATGTCCTTCCTCGGCCCTTGTCTGCAACCCTGCAACGACCTTTGAGGTTGCTAAGCAGTGCCTCACACCAGCGCCATGTGAAATTATTCAAACGAAGATGCTCGCAGCGTCTCCATCAGTGCCGCCCTCTATGGCAGCATGATCTTCCTCGGCCCTTATCTGCAACCCTGCAGCGACCTTTGTTGAGGCTGCCAAGCAGTGCCTCATACCAGGGGGAGTGTGAAATTATTCGAACGAAGACACTGTTCCATAGGCTAGCGCAGCGCCCTTCTCCATCAGTGCCGCCCATTCTGCCGGCATGACCTTCCTCGGCCCTTGTCTGCAACCTTCGAGGTTGCTAAGCAGTGCCTCATACCAGGAGGCATGCATGTGTCTATTCGCGCGAAGAGGCTGTTCTTTAGGCTAGCAGCGCCGTTGTCCGTCAGTGCCGCCCACTATGACGGCGTGACCTTCCTCGGCCCTTGTCTGCAACCCTTAACGACCTCTGAGGTTGCTCAGTGCGTCGTACCAGGGGGCATGTGAAACTATTCGCACGAAGACGCTAGCAGCGCTGTTGCCCATCAGTGCCGGCCACTATGGCGGCATGTCCTACCTCGGCCCTTGTCTGCAACTTTGCAACGACTGTTGAGGCAACCCTGCAGCGACCTTTGTTGCTGCTAGGCAGTAGCAGGGGGCAGGTGAAATTGTTGTTCGAACGAAGACCCTGTTTTTTAGGCTAGCAGTGCAAGTCTCCGTCAGTGCCGCCCACTATAGCGGCATGGCCGTGCTCAGCCCTCAACTGTCTGCAACCCTCGAAGAGCCTTGAGGTTGCGACGCAGTGCTCACACCAGAGGGGCATGCGAAATTAGCCGAACGAAGACGCTGTTCTTTAGGCTAGCATTGATCGGGCCAGGCAGTGCCTCGTACCAGGAAACGTGAAAGTATTCGAACGAAGACGCTGTTGTTTAGGCAAGCAGCGCCATTCTCATCAGTGCCGCCCACTATGCCGGCGTGACCTTCCTCGGCCCTTGTCTGCAATCTTTGAGGTTGCTAAGCAGTGCCTCATACCAGGAGGCATGGCTACGAAGACGCTGTTCTTTAAGCGCCGTTGTCCGTCAGCGCCGCCCACGCTGGCGGCATGACCTTCCTCGGCCCTTGTTTGCAACTTTTCAGCGACCTTGTGAGGTTGCTAAGCTGTGCCTCGTACCAGGGGGCATGTGACACTATTGGAGCGAAGACGGTGTTCTCGCGCAGCCCACTACGCCGGCATGACCTTCCTCGGCCCTTGTCTGCAACCCTTCAATGAGCTTGAGGTTGCGAAGATGTTCAAACGAAGGCCCTGCTCGTTAGACTAGCAGCGCCGTTCTCCGTCAGTGTCGCCCACTATGGCGGCGTGACCTTCCTCGGCCCTATAGTCCCTCAGCCTTCTTTGAGATTGCTACGCAGTGCCTCATACCAGGGGGCATGTGAATTTTTCAGACGATGAAGATGCTGCTCTTCAGGCTAACAGCCTTCTCCATCAGTGCCACCCACTATGGCAGCACGACTTTCCCCGGCCCTTGTCTGCAACCCTACAACGACCTTTGAGGTTGCTAGTTGGTAAGCAGTGCCTCGTATATCGGGGGGCGTGAACGAAGAGACGCTGTTCTGCAGCACCAGTCTCAATCAGTCAGTGTCGGTCCGGGCTATTCCGGATAGCAGCGATAGCTGGATTTCCCAGCTACTTGCCCTGGGCATCTACCTGTTCGCGGACAAGTTTCTCCAAAACGGTATATCTATTCTACCACTACCAGCATTCAGTTTGTGGTTTCCCAATCAGTTGTGGTTTTGATTTCGCGGTTCTGGTTGCCGATTCAGCCGTTCTGGGCTGCCGATATTTCCCGATTGTTCCTTCGACCTTGTAGGCTTAGGGTTTATCTGGAGGTGCGAATGGATGAGATATCGAAAGCAACAGCCGGCCAACGCAAAGCCGCAGCACATGTATACACATAGATGTGTATATATATATATATAAAGTGGGTCGCATAAGGGTCTGTGCAGCTGCTAGCCACTTCCATCATGTTTCTTGCAGGTGCCGCAGGTAAGTCCTTGGTGTGGGACAGCCGCTTGCGGCATGAGGTGGTTTCCCTGGTCTCCTCATGCCTTGTGGCCGCGAAGCAGCGCCCACGGGCCCGAGCAGCTAGGCCACATTAGGCCATGCTCAGTTTGTGAGTTCCTTGTGAAGGTATGACTCGCAGTGAACAGCAGCGGCTAGCGGTCTTTTAGCAGGTACCGGACAAGGCCTGGAAAGCAGTGAGCTAGTGACACACTCTCTCATAGGGTGGGTCGGCGTAGCAGACGGTCGGTCTCGTGTCAAGTCTTCCTCATAAGTCGGTAGGCGTGTCTTCTCGAGTATGTGCCGACACGCGTGCATATTCAATTCTTTCCCTGCAACTTGTGCACCAGCCACATCCGTCTGAATCCTAGGGGGATCCTTCCACAAGAAAATCTTTGAAAAATGGGGCGGGGGTGAGGGAGTGGGTGGGAGGGGTGGGGAAAGTAAAGATCACAGTACCGTCATGCAGGAAAAGAGTTCCAGATTTGTTTATTTGTTGGCAAGTTTCGTGTCATTGAACTTCGCCCTCAAGTTTGAGGTGGTCCTGCACCAGCTCCGCACCAACGGCTGGGTTCCACACCGAAAGAAGCGGTTGGTGGAGCCACCGCTGTTTCACCCTGCCAAGGGCAGGAACGGCGGGCGGCGCCACATTGGTCGCCTGTGAGCTGAAACTCAGAAACTTGGCCTCCTTGTGCTGGCGGATGCCCCATTACCAGGTCTTTTGAGTGTTGAAGCAAGCCAATGAGAAACACGCGCACACCCAAAGTAGGAGATGTCCACATACGGACACCTTGTGCAACAATACGCACTTGCTTCGCAAACAACTCACAGCCCCATTCGTGCTTCCAGGCACCCTGAGGGCAGAAAGAGACAGTGCGATGCACGTGCTCTCCTCTTGCACGAGTTCTTCGGTAGCAAGCTGACATGCAAGGAAAGTTTGGATCACGACTACTCGTCGTCCTTCCGATCCTCACGCAGACTCGAATGTCCAATGTCACTAGGGCCGTGCCGGCTCTACAGCGCCAGATGCGGGGCTCTAGCAAAAAGACTTGCTAGCGATGTTTGGCATGCTTGTGTTTGGGAATGATTGCGCTCAACGCGTTCTCACCCACAAGTTTGGTCCTCGCCGGAGCTGGTTCGGAGTACTGAGAGCCCCCCAATGCCTTGGACTTGATCACAACAGCCCCAGCCTTGGACAGTTCAAACGACTCTTGACTGGCAATTCATGAGAAACTTAATGTTGCACCGTCTTTAGTATTGGCCCCCCCCCCAAACAAATTTGGACCCTCTATAAACGCGTGGCGCGGCGACCCCCCCAAACAAATTGAGGGCGGGGGGAGGGGGGGGGCCCTCAGGGCAGGCCTTTAGGACCTCAAGGCCTGAAACTTTCCAGCCTTTAAGATTCCTGGAGCCCAACACCCTCAGGGCCTCAAGCCTCACTGCGTCAGGCCTTAACCTTAAACACAAACCCTTCATTAAAAACATCATCCGAAAAAGACTTGGCATTATAGAGGGTAGCGATCGCAAAATTTGTTTGGGGCCTCGTGTCGTAATGAATTTCCAAAAGGCGATTTCTGGATTCTCCGCGCTCTGGCTCTTAAAGATTCCTGGAGCCCAAAACCCTCAGGAGACCTTAGGACCTTACCCCAAAACACAAACCCTTAAACAAGAAAAACTGTCCGGAAAAGCTTGTGATAATAGCAGGTACCCTGAACAAACTCGGTTCGCGGAATAATTTTTCGAAACTTGTGATTCTAGACCCTGCTTATACTGAAGTCAGTGCAACATTAACAGTGCCTGTGACCTCACAGGTGATACAAGGCGTGCACGAACCCTGAAGCCGGGCATTTAGAAACAGATGTGCTATTGTGCCTTTGTTGAGGCCTCTTGAAGAGGACGGGTGCTGGCACGTACCGACCAGATTGCCAGACTTGACAGATGATCAGACTTTAGCATCTCACAAGTTTGGCTGCAGGAGGAATGCCGGCCAGGCTCTAGGTTGGCCAGTGACGCTCTGGCTTAAGAGAGTCCATGACTTCGTTGCTCGTTTCGGTCATTGTGCGCCGAGGCTGCTTGGCTCGCAGACCGAGCAGCACTCGATCGTTGCCATGCAAACCAGCCACGCAGGCTGCAACTGATTCTTCCCAACGAGCTCAAAGAACAGCTCGATTTGCTCGTCTACTGTTGTGCTGCAACTTTCAACTTGCTGGAGTCTTTGTGGCTTTCAGACTGTCCCTGGCATCCACGAGCGCGGAGACTTGCTCAGACATCTCAGACTTGCAGGATGTGTTAATGCCCCTTTAGGAAAAGCACCGTTGTGCAAGGAGGATGAACTGTACGACGCCGTGGACCCACCGACACGTATGCGAAGGCTGTCGGGTCGCCTTCGTCTGAGGGTGGGGCATTTCAGTTTCTCGGTTTCACTGATGAGTAGGCGCAGGCATCCGGAGGCAGATCAACATGGACCGGTATGCTCTGGTAGTCAGCAGGACATGCCAGCCACGTTGTCTCCGTCCAACTCAAGACTGTCTAAGCAGTTCAAACTGGGAGTCCTCATTCTTGAGGCTGACGTCAAAACTTGACCAGCAGTCGACGAGCGTGGTACGCCAAAGCTGTGTCTGATTAAAACAGCAATGCGCAGTGGGGCCCGGAATGATTTACGGGATACTGCTGGAAAGATCAGGGAATGGGTTAATTAGAGTGTTTAAAATGGGGCCAATTTGGCCATTGACTACCTCTCGGCTACCTCCCTCGTTCCCCGTGTGTGGGACCTGCGTCTGAAGGCAAGCAAGCATTTTTATTGTTCTTTGCCCATATCCCTCAATGTTAGGATGAATTTGGGAGTTGGGTGGGGGGAGGGGGAGGAGGGGAAGGGGGAGTGGCGAAGGCCAAAACGGCCCCACGACAGTGTCCTAATTAGTCTGGCCCAGAGTCCAGGCGTAAAACTGAGCCTGCTCCATTATGAAGTCTTCTGGGCAGAGCGGGCAATCTGACAATCACGATGAGCATCTGTACATATCATTGTATCTCGAGGCCTTTGCCCACGCTCTGTCACGGAGCGCGGCGTCGATGCAGCGGCTGCCGAGGCGTGGGAAGATCTTCTGGCTTCAGACTCTGATGTTTACAAAACTTCTTCTAATGCTCCTGGACTTTTGGGTTTGCTGCCGGTTGGCTGCAGTGCCCCCGACAGTTGCGAAGGCCCGAGGCTTGTTGCTCCTAGAGTCATCGAGTTTTTTGTGTTCCGCTCCTCGCTCCGCCCTCCGAAGCGGTGAGTTGCGATTCCCCAACACCCTGCGCGCTGATATCATCGCAGGAGTTCGGGTTCAGGGGCCACCCCGCTAAACGACCCTAAAGCACTTTAAGTTTTGAAGCCCAAAACTTTACAAGATGCGGCCTGCGAAACATGTCTGGCTTCAGAACCGCGTCATGGGGATCTCAAGAGTGAAAGGCAAGATAACAGGGCCCACCATTTAAGGTCACTCTGCGCCCTTTATAAACCACAAGGTAATGTCCTTGAGTGTACGGCAAGAGCAGTATTCAAGCCGGCACAGTCTTGAATCAGTCAGATGTGCCTAAGTACTTGCGCATACTTCTTGTGTCTTCATTCGGCCAGCGCATGTAAGAAGTTCGGGCTTTGTGCCATCATGGCTAAGCGGAAGTTCGCCCAGGAAGATGACCTGAGCCAAGCCACCACCTGTGCTCCTCCTAGTCAAACGCACGCTGGGTCGATGTCGCAGACTTCGCTTGGTGTTGCGGCAAAAGAGGAACATTGGGAAGAATGGGATGACGAGCCTTTCCAAGATGAAGTCTACTCCGAGAGCTTAGCAGCTCAAGAAACCACTGCAACAGGTGAAGAATTGCGAGGAGGATTTCGCGATTTGTCACAAGAGGAGCAGGACTTGTTCCTCAAGGTCCCGGCATACCTAATGGACGAGATCGGCATCAGAAACTTGAATCCCACCACGTACAGGGGACCAATCAAGAAGCTGCTACAGTATTTTTTCTCAAGATACAGGCAATCAGCCGAGGACGACTACTTCTTCGAGACCGAAGAGACTGTTCGAGGCCGAATGTGGATTTCGAAGCTAGTCACCCCCTCGTTCTACAACCGCACCTTCTGGGGCCACGCAATGCCGACAGTTCAGCTGGCCGAGGCATCAGCATGCGTCCAGTTTTTCACAGATGGAGCTGTTGTGGCGGCCGGGAAAAAACTGCCGCCGACTGTCAAGCAAGTCCGGAGGTTTGTGAACCATAAGGTCGGCAACAGGGAGCGGAAGCTCGACATGATTCGTCGAGGCATTAACCCGAAGCTCGTCGTTCAGGAGGCAATCCAGGAAATTTTCCTGTATTTCAAGTCCATTGGGTGCAGAACTGCTTTGTGGGATAACAATATCTGAGCCACAGGGAATTGAAAGGAGTTTCGCTGAGCGTTCCGAAGGACACGCCACGTTGTGTTCAGTTTTCAGTGCACACAAGCACAAGCCCCGAAGCAACAGAGTAAAGCCTAGTAGCATAGTCGCAACGCGGTCTTGTTAGCCTGGCATGTGCAATTCATTTCCTGTCAGCGTTCCGCTGGCTTCGTGTGTGTGTGTGTGTGAAGGGGTTATGGCAGAGCAGTGCAAAGCTGTGCTGTCAACCATAGGTGCTGGCTTGGGAAAAAGGTGTTTCACATCCTCTTGTATGCTGTCAACCAAAAGTAAGAAGGTAGGGAAGTAGCAGTCCGGACGAACTGCGGGATGCTGTTGGCGCTAGATGTTCTGTGACCCAAAAATCCCGGAATGTTTCAGTCAGCAGCTCGCCTCTTCAGGCACCTGCCGCGATGATCAGAACACCACATCGGTTGAAAGCAGCTGCCTTGAATGCTGAAGAGATGTAGGATCTGCGGTACTCGGTATCTTCACAACTTGAATGGTCGTTCTGTTGGCTCTCACACCGAAGTTTGATTGTACATGGAAATGTGACTCTGCAAGCTGGCGGCAGTCCTTGCTTCGCGTGTTGGCAACCTTTTTAGCGGCAGCGGCATGGGCATGGGGGGCTGTGTGAGACGAGTTTACCGGGTCCGTCCGATGTTCCCGGCCCCCCTCCCCTTCTGCCCTTCTTAGGCCTGTTCCGGAGCACGCCCCCCCACTCCCCCACTGACTGGCCCGTCCCCCTTGTACGACATTTTGGTGACTCACCACACCCATTCATGGAAACGAGCGAGCAGAGCCAGGAAAAAGGCGAGGCTTTTGCTGTGGCGCCTGGAGACAAACAGAGACTCCTATAGAACTACAATAATTGCATGGGAGTGTGAGGGGGCGGGGGGAGGGGAGGCAGGGTGTGGGGGGTTGGACAGGATGGTTTTGGCATGCATTGAGCGAAGCTGGCTTTGCCAACACCCGATAGCGGCTAGCAGCGCCCCGCACAAGCGGGCTCAGGGGCGGTGCACGGTCAGCCAAAGTGTCCTTGATGCTTTGCCATCTGTGGCTTCTAGGGTAAAGGCAGATTTTTGTGGAACGAGTGGCCAGATGGCTACCACGTGCGAGGCTTACAATCCTTATGAGCGTCCAAGATTTGGCTGTTGAACCGCTGCCAAATGCACTTCATTCTTTTCTTCAGGAGCAGCAAGATTTGTCCCGCTCGGATGACCTCGAGCTTCGGAACGAACTTTGCCAGGACGTGAAGGCCCAGCTGCAGAAGCAACAGAGAATACCTACACAGCTTGTACAATTTCAATCAAGCTGTCAGAAGCGCAAGGTCCTGCCCATTTGCCTTAGTGAGATCGTCCCCCGTCTTGTCTGCGCCTCGTGTTCTTATGTGCAGCTTTTGCTTCATTGATTACGAAGCGTGATGCAGCAAGACTTCGCTAGATGGTTGCCTCACAGCCCTGAACCCAGGACAATATCATGCGATGTTTTTCCAGAAGGACACCTACAGCTCTGTCGGCCGGCACAACTCCAGGCGACAGCGTGGGCACGCATTGGCACCCTATGAGCCTGTGAACATATGAACTGTCTCAAAGGATATCTCACGCTAAAGAATCACTCATCCATGTAGCGCACTCAGTGGCGCTTTTTGTCGTGCCTGCTACCGTGCTTGGCTCAAAGGGCCACAGACACGTCAGCATGCATCTCTAAAGGAGTCATATGCACCTATACACTCCCCTTGTCGATGTTGACGGGGTAAAGAATAGAGAGTATTGCTACCTTTGGTAAGCCACAGCAAAAGTTGACGTCCAGATATCATCCTCCCAAGTCTCGGCGAGGCCTGCAAAATGCTGGCCGCTCTTCGCTTTAAGCTTCTGGCTTCTCTTCGTAGTCGTTGTCGTTTTCCCGCTGACACGAGCTCTCTCCCTTGACTTGAGTGCCCGTTGCCTCCACTCGAAGCATGCTTAATCAGGCACTGGTTTCAATCTCGGTACTACAGTTACCAAAGCAGACCACGCAGATTCGAAAGCTGCAAAGTCCGGATGTGGAACGAGGAAGTGGCAGAGATGAACCTTCCACAAAATAGGAAAAAGTACCAAAGACATCTAAGCACATTGGCCTCAGATGAACACGACTCCTCGTCACTACTTGTGAGCAAACCGGGGCATCAAAACCCCGTCTGGATTTGGGAGGCGAGCGGAAGGCTCAGCCGAAACGAAGGTCTAGACTACAGCGCTCGGCGTAAGCGAGCGTGGAACAGGCGTCAGCAGATGGTGTTTGGGCGGGGGCTTGACTGACCCAAGCGCAGGCCGGATTGCAGGCGAGTCGGAAAAGCTCTCAACGAAGGAAGGAGGCTGGATGAGCGAGAGGGCTGGGTGCGTGACAAGCGGCAAGCAAGCTCAAGGCTTAAAGGCTTGCTCGTGTCTTGTGCGAATCGAATAATCCAGCTTTTACGTTCATGATAAAGCGCTATTACCCTTGAAGGCTTCTGCTGTCACCGTCGTCAAAGCATCGCTAAGATTCATCTCCCCAGGAAGCCAAGCTAAACAGCATTGTGTGCCATTTCTCAAAAAATGTTTGACTGAAAGCAAGTCCACTGACAGAGAAAACTGTAGCTGCGGCACAGCCTATGCCCGTAGGTGGTTAGAGGCAGCACATGTAAATATGGATCACCAGTGAAAGCACTAGTGTAGTGATATGGAAAAGGCAATAGGCGTCTCCGGCATCCAGAAAACCCAAAACCAAGGTAGTCCTGGCCCTCAAGCGAGAGAGCAAACATGCCGAGCCGGCTAGATGCCTTGGAGCTACCCTCATAAAGAACAGGAGGACAGCGAAGATGCGGTGAAGAAATTGCGAACACAAAATCAACACCAATGCCACTCTGTACAACAAGGTGGCGTGAACTGCAAACCTGTTTGCAAAGTTTGCACGGCGACCAGTCGAACAGTGCTGTACGCGGATGCCGCAACGACCAGTGGTGCCGAAGTCGCCCTCGATTAGAAACGAATTGAGAAGAAGTCGCAGAACATGCCGTAGATGACAGTGTGCCGAATACCTCCCCCACTACCCCAAACCCCCCACGGGGATCCGAGCCTGCGTCAAACAGCATGGGCACGCAGTTGCCAGAGGCGCTAGCGCCTGCAGGGTTCTCAAGCCGGGGCCCAGCCGGCGATACTAACGGCAGTGCCAAGAGGGCCAGCAGGAAGAGCCAGCGCCACCATCACAGACTCCATGAAAGCGACAGGGTGCATGTAGCCCAACCAGCCAGATTGAGCGCGTGGGGGCGCACCGCTCGAAAGCAGTGCGCCCGGTGGGGGAAGACTATTGCTTCCCCCGGTTCTGGAGGTATTTGTCATGCCAACCAAAGCTAGCATATCGGGTCAATTCCCGCGACGCCACCAGCCACCATGGCGACCAGCAGCGGCGCCCCCCCCACGGAGGGAAGTCCACTGACATCTTCGCGTCCTCATCGGCCATTCCCAGTGACTCATTGGAAGCAAGTAAATCGTAGCAGCCTCGTGAATCAGTGATCAACAAGGACACGAACAAAGATGTCAAGGATGGATCTCGAAAGGCAACTATATCCCGAACTGGCAGAATCTTCTTTTACAAGCCGTTGCCTTCGACAGCATGTCTTGGAAGTGCCGATGCGAAGAGCGCGTTCTTGCAGGCTGACAATCGTGAGGAGGGGTGGAGGCTTTGGACACGTGGTGTCCCAGAGCTAGCTAGATCCTTGGGAGTGCCGGAGGCAAGATTGTTTCGCATCATGGGGGCGGTTTACAGCTTACAGTTTGACTGTTGGAATTTGCACAGTGTCGGGCTTTTGATTATGAAGTGTCAATGGCGTGCAATCCCAACAGCACCACAATACTCGGCTAGGGTGGGCATGTGTACGTCAGCTCTGAAGGACAACTGCTTGCGCAATTTGAGAGGACACTTCGATAGCAAGAGCGCGAAGGAGGATTTCGACTCTCGCACTAGCTCGCGCAGGCAAGAAACCAGTCGTTCTGCCTCTTCGACGAGCCACTTTCTTGGAAGTTTGCGATCACGACACAGCTTAGCCAATGCCTGTCAGAGGGATGCCCTGCTGCTTTGTGAAGACGATGTAGTAATGCTGAACCCTTCTGTCGCTCACCTTCTGGAACACCAAGGTCTCTAGAGTCGGGGTCTTGAGACGTGGATGGTTCGGTACCATCAGCGCTTTGAGCAGGGAGATCTTTCCCTGGCGGTGCGTCTGAGTTGCCTGAATGGACCTTGCGGGCTCACGGCTTGCTGCTTGCTTCTTTGACTGTGATGGCATCGAAGGGTTTTGTTGCTGCTGGGAACAGAGATCTTGCTGAAGGACATGAAGCTCACGAAGAATGGAAGCATCTGTGCACTGGTGCGATGGTCCTTTCCAGGTCCAGACCTGCACAATCCTTCTAGCAAACTTGGGCGGAGAGTATCCGGATTTCTCCGCCAGTTTCCCTGCACCCAGCAATGGAACCTGAATGGAACATGATCATGAGTGCCATCGCATGTCACCGCAGCATGTTCATGAAAATACCTATCTGTGGTCATGATTGTCAACTGTTTTCGGACGCGCACGCCCTGCTCATCCTGGAATCCAACCATACAACCATCGCTTTCCGCTGGTGATGCTTCCAAAGCCATTCTCGGAAAATTCTCCACTCAGGCAAATCCCATCCCTGCTTTGCCGATGTTGGCCATCTCGCTACTGTTGTCGAATTCCAGCAGGGACTTGAATATTTGAATCACATGCCTGATTCGTCTTCGGGATCGATAGCGAATGCGCCTAAGTAATTCCATGTGAGCAGACGTCTTCAATTTGAGGCTTTGCAGGTTTGTCGCGGGTGCGCACCTGGGAGCGGCCCATAACTTTCGCCGTCTCTTCTTGGGCATGCTGGAGATGAGCCGTTGCACATGCTGCTGCTTCTCCAAATCAAAACCTGTATGAAGAGAAATACGCTCTGCTGAGAACCTTGCTTCTGCACTTCCTGGGAAAAACTGGACCTTGAGGGCTACAGCATAGTTCCCACACATGGATGGGATCGGCCTGCGTGTGGGTCGCCGCTAACGCTGGACAAGGCCATCGAAAACAGGACTGCAAGGATCTTTCAAGGCTCTTCTGTGTCGTTCTTCACCTGGGCTTCTTCCATCTGCCGCCTGTGCCGAATCCGGGCTGGCGTGATCTCGGCATCCATGGCCAGCTCCTCCGACGAATCGTCCGAGGGAACCTTCTGGGTTCCGCCTTCTTCTCGTCCTTCTCGAGGGCCGCGCCCAACTCTTTCAGATAACCTTTGTCCTGAGAACTGGCACCGGTTGGCTTGGCACCCTTCAGCACGTACTCGTGCTCGAAGATCTTGATTTGGTTTCGTACAAACTTGCCCTCCATGGCCGTCACATGAGCAGGGAGCTCGCTGTGGCGCGAATTCGCTGGTGCCTGTACCCTCGGGACATATGACATCCTCACGTCGCACCGCGCACACTGGGTCCACGATCCGAACCGATTGCCTCCTGCCGGACGTGGGTCCCGAAGCAAGGCCATTGTGTGGCCGACATCCTGGGATCCGCCAGCTCCTCCTTCCTTCATGGTCCCCGCGTCGTCCAGCTCGCCGAGGTCTTATTCTTGAAACTCCCCTTTTTCTGCCTGCAGCTCCCCGTGGATCGCCTCCCAGTCTCGCGAATGGCTTCCTTGGTAGGTGCATCCACGCTTGCCGTAGGGGCAGGTGGCAAGCTGCACGTGTCTCGGCTTGAATCTGAATCGCCAACAAGGATAGAAACTCTTCTGAATTCACACCCGAGTGGTCCTGCAGACCTCGCTCAGGGCAAAATCCTGATGGACATGTTGACTCTGCAACTGGAGCTTCCACATGGTGAAGCTGCTGACTCGCACTGATCTGCAACGGATACATAGTCTGACCTTCACAGTCATGACATGCACTGCCACACTCATGCGGCACAACATTGGGCTCAACCAAAGTCACTGTGAAAGCTGCTGCTCTAGGGTTTCTGCATGAAATACTGCTGCGGCAAGGCTGCGTTGGAACCTTGGCAACAATATGCGCCATGTCAAACAACAATATTTAGCATGCATTCTAAGTCGCCACGGCTTGCCAAGAAAAATTGAGCACGAAGTCTGTAAGTTGATAATCACTCCGAGCTGTTGCAACTCATGCATGCCCAGCAAGATTGGAACACCTGGAGAAGGCAAAGCTTAGAACTGAAGCTTGAAGGCATGCTCTGGGTTTGCAACGCTAACCTTGAAAAGGGCCTGACCCCAAGCGCCTGACCCAAAGCGGATGTATGGCTGATTCTGCTGAACAATGGTCACGTTCATATCTGGCCGGGCTTGTGCCAGGCTAGCAAGAAGAGCACTCACAACTTCCTGGCCACCTGCAGAGACCGTAGCCCCCGTGTCCATCACTCTCTCGGCCGGGAAAATCGTGGCCTCCAAAGCAGCCTGCATCAACTCCAGCAGAGTACCAACTTCAGAAAGACAACCATCAGCCTCAAGCACTTTTTTTCACTCACTCACGCATCCGAGCCTCAAGCACATCCATGGTCATCACCTG